TGGAGACTCCCTTTACTACCCGTTTGCCCCGGACAGGGTCTGGGGACATTCTCCCTGGACAAAAGAAGGTCCATGCTGGCTGGGATTCAATCACCGGGCCATGTCTGATGGCTGAGTTGGCTGGGAGTCCCTTCATGGTCCCAAATTATTGGATTTAATGTGAAATCTCCACTGGGTTAGAATATCCCGCTGGGAAGCATCGCCGGCATGGCGTAGAAATAGAAATGGAAACAGCTGCTAAAAGCAAGATCTTCTTTATTTGTTGCGGGAAGGAGTACACGTGGCGCAAGCAGTATTGAGGACAAACGTTCCTGGGCTAGCAACTTGACTGTGAGTAACTGGAGGTTTTTATAACCTTTTTTCCCTTAGGAAGTTTGTGTTTCAATGATTTTGTGTTTGTAGTACCTTTTAATGGCTTGTGCCTTGTATGATTCTTGTGCTTAATAGATTTATTCTTTATTTGGGCTTGTTTGGAGGGCTGGCAGGGAGTGCTTTCTATGGCTGGATTGGATTTCTGATCTAATCTTCTTATCTGTCCTAAGTGTCTTTGGAAATTGGTATGGTGTTCATGATCGATCTTGGGTGTTTCTCTGTTTGCTTCCCCTTGTAATCTTGATCAGTTGCTTTAGGCGTTTTGTATTTCTTTATGTTATCCTATCTTGAAATCTTTCTATTTCTGTCTTCTCCCTACTGGGCTGTTAGTTTCTCATTCTAAAGTGTTTGTGCTTACTCTGAGATAACTTCCTGATCTTAGTAGCTCTTGACTGTGGTCTGTCTTTTTCCTGGCTATTCCCAATGTGTTTTATTCGGCTTTTCCTTACGATTTTATGTGTCTTCTTCATGTTCCCTTCCTTCAGGAGAAAATGCCATTTGTTGCTGTTATTGTTTTTTTTTAGAAGTCAGATCACTTTAGAAATGGGGAACGAAAGTGATTCAAGGGAACAAATGATGAACATGCACTAAGAACATTTGAAAGAGGCATGTTAAAAAAAATGAATAAAACAACATATCTAAGTTCAGGAAAGGTTTTATACATTTTCCTATTTAATATAAATGTTTGAACAATTCCGAAAAGTACTGAATGCAAACCAAGATCGTTTTTGTATTAGATGCTATTTTGTGTGGTGTTTTTGTTGGTTGTTACTTGCCTAGAGTTATTCACCAAGATGGACTGCCTTAAAAATTGAAATAATAATAATAATAATAATAATAATAATAATAATAATAATAATAATAATAATAATAATAATAATAATAACAACAACAACAACAACAACACTAATTGCAATTCTAAAAAGTCACCAAAATTGTGTGAAATATAATATAACATAATTATAAACTATTTTCTAAAAGGAAGAATAGAAAGAAGGAAAGAGGAGAGGGAGAGAGAGACGTGGAGGGTGGGAGGAACAAAGGAAGGAAGGAGGGTGGGAAGAAAAGTTTAAAGTTCAGAATGAAACTGAAAAGAAACAGAAAAAAGGATCTGGGTATTTCTTCTGCAGCAAATATAAGAACGTTTATAGTATTAACTCTGATTACAAAAAGGAGCTCATGTGTTTCTATTATCCATTTTTTTAAATCATCAAAATCACAAATTTTGACTGCATATTTTTCCATTTCATCCAAATTTTATAAACAACCAAAAATTTTAATTTAGCCTTCTCTGCAGATCCCATTATCTTCACCTTCTATCACTCCATTGTGGGTGGTGTCGAGTCTTTCCATTTTCGAGGATATAATAATCTTCCTACAGTTATCATATATAAAGGAAACGATTTATGAGTAACCCAACTAAACAAGGCTCTTTTAGCCAGATTTTGGAAAGTTCATTCTCTCCCTTCATCCTAGCTTTACTGGAACAAACTTGACAATGAGGGGGTTGGCATACAAATTGAATAAATAAATAACACATTTAGAATAAGGTTCTAGTAGGAAGGGAACAATGATAATAAGTTTACCCAGAGGGGTCTATTAAAGACATTCCAACTATAAGCTGTAATTCATAAAGTATCTTTGTCTCACCAGTGAAACATAGTAGGCCGAATGAAGTAAATAAATGATAAGCAGATATACAGCAGAGGAAATAAGTGGAGGAATTTTGTCGGTTCTAAAGGTGCTCATCAATTTATAACAGTTCATTAAGTGACCATTCAAAGTTAAAACAACACTGAAAAATAGTGACTTATGACCATTTTTCACACTTACGACCATTGAAGCATTCCTAAGGTCACATGATGAAAATTCAGGTAACTTGTTCATATTTACGACCATTTCTGTGTCCCTAGTTAATCATGTGAATCACCTTTTGTGACCTTCTGACAAGCAAAGTCAATGGGGAATCCAGATTCACTTAACAACTGGGTTACTAACTTAACAAATGCAATGATTCACTTACAGCTGTAGCAAGAAAGGTTGTAACATGGGACAAAGTCACTTAACAAAACATTTCACTTAATAAATGTTGGACTCAATTATGGTTGTAACTTGAGGACTACCTCTATTTCAAATTGAGAAACAAAAATAGACAATCACCCAGCAAGAATTATTTAATAGTTACATGAGAATCTGGGGTGGTGGTTAATGCCTCTGTGGCTAAATATCTATGGAGATTCTCAGTCTTCCAGGTCACGGAAGTCCGCAAAGGTGCCTTTTCAAGAAACAACTGGACTTTCTGGTTTTTCTTTGAAGACATTTTGCTTCTAATCCAAGAATGGCTGGAGCCGTTTCTTGGGTGAGAAGTGAAACGTCTTCAAATTAAAACAAACAAATAAACAACAACAACAAAAGCCCACTTGCCTCTTGAAAAAGCATCTTTGGGATGTCTCTTTGGTTAAAGACTCTGAACTTGTCAGCTGGAAAGGGGACAGACCATGTTTGAGACCTGAGTGTCTTGTGATGGAGTGAGCTCCTCTCCTGGCCTCAGCTCCTGCCCAGGTAGCAGTTCAAAAGCATGAAAATGGGAATAGATAAATAGGTACCACTTTGGTGGGATGATAACATAATTATGCTGACTACTTGACCTTGAAATATCTTCAGATAATGTTGGTTCTTTTGGCTAAGAAATGGACATGAGCATCACCTTCTAGAGTTGGATAATACTGGACCAGTGCAAACATTTGAATTTATCTTTACATTAAAGTCAAGAGGGTGTGGATTTTTTTTAAAGTGATGAATAAATGGCTGGCTGGGTGGGTAGGTAGATGAATGATAGACATGATAGATAGATAGATGACAGATAGACATAGTACATGCATACAAACAGATAGATTGATATAGGTCAAGTCAGGAGGCATTGTCTATTGGTCCTTAATTTACAAATGTCTTTGGATAAAAGAGATTTCTCCACTCACATAATTTTTAATGTACCCTACAGACACACGCACACAGAAAGACAAATAGATTAGGGGGCTGTCATAATAAGTATTAAGAGAAACTTTTTTTAATTATTGGAAAAGTGGTAATGGTTACCTTTGATTAAACAAAAATCTAGCTTTGCAGTGTGGAAGTTATGGGACTGAGCAAAGAGTCAAAAGGGATGGAATTAAAAAAAAAAGACAGCCACACAATTCAAGTAGAACATAAATAAAACACAAATACAGACTCCTGTGAATCATTTTGGAGAGCTGCTCAGAGGCAGAGAAAGTTTTTGAGGGTCTCCAGACTCACTTCCTCTCACTGTGTCTCTCGCACAGTAATAGACAGCTGTGTCCTCTTCTTTCAGATTGTTCATTTGCAGATACAGCTGGCTTTTGGCATCATCCCTGGAAATGGTGAAGCGTCCTTTCACTTTGTCTGAGTAGTAAGTGGAAGTTGTACCCATGCTTGTAACCCATTCCAGTCCTTTCCCTGGAGCCTGTCTCACCCAGCTCATTGCATAGTTGCTGAAGCTGAAACCAGAGGCTTGGCAGGAGAGACGGAGAGACTCTTCAGGTCTTCTCATATCCCCTCCAGACTCCACCAACTGTACTTGAGACTTGACACCTAAAAAGAAAGGTATATCAGTAAGCTCTCCTGTGTACAATAATTAAAATGGAAAGAAGATGGTTAGGGAGGAAAAAATTACCATGGAGGATTGCAAGTAACGACAACAATTTTAGCCACAGTGGCATTTTTGCTCTGTGCAATGAATG